TGTTTAGCTATTAACTCATAGATATATGTTTTTTAGAAGCTGATCCAGTAATTTCTTTAGGGTTTTGATGATGTGGAAAGCATTGCATGATGAATACTTGACCTACCAAATAAAACAGAACTGCAACCACAGCCTTTTTAAAGGGTCAATATTTCACAAGCTTTACACAAGAAGCCACCCTAAGCTCTCTAAAACTGGCTTCACTGAGACAACAAGATAAAAGCCAAATGTTTGGTAAGTCCTTGACACTCCGGAGTCTAGGTCTTATTAAGGAGTCAACATTTAGAGAAAAGCTCCCTAAGTTTTCTTCTGGTTTAGAAAGGCCCTTGGGTCCTAGGTATCAGACTACTTATTGGACAAAGACTGAAAGCCCTAAAATTGGTTTTGGTAGTATCAACAGGATCCAATGAAAGAGACATCCTATCATAGAGGAAGAAAACAAGAGTGAGGAATCACCTATCTTTAGGTATAAATATGTTTAAAAGGACCCTAGCCTCAGAGGCAAAGATGAAGTTTCCTTGTCTATCAAGACATCTTCCTGGAGTCACGGAGATGGGACTGTTCTGGCAATGAAACTGTCCACACAGATGACAATCCCACTGCTCTCTCTGGCTTTTCTGAGCAGATCATAACAGCTATTCCTGCTGCAACGAGAATGGTGTAGCCTTGCTCCAGCTCACTGATGATCATCTACATTAACATTTAGGGAAAATCCACTGTGTCCAAAGCTGGCTGGTCTTCCCTCCCTCTCTTCATCCCTCCCTCTGGTCTTCAATAGAATTAAGTCCACTGAAACAACAGGACCTTTCAAGCTGCCTCTTGCCACATCCCTTCCCCTCCCCACTCTCTTCTCTCCTAATCTTCTCATTGCTCGAAAGTCAATAATGGTACCAGGGGAAGCATGAGGGAGTCGAAGGTTTTGTAAACACATGAACAAATCTGGGCAGCATTTTCACTTTTTTATATTTTACTTTTGATACATTGTCAAAATATTAATTCCAGCCATCCCCCAATCATAGGGTTTTCCCTATTCTGCCCTTTCTCCTCTTAAAAAACAGAATCACAAAATTAATATCCATACATTTCTATGATCTAGTTTATCCTTTGATAATATCTCTTTTCAGATGCCTGGAGTTGAAATTGTTTGCAAGATTTGGAGATCAGCTCCCCAATCAATAAGCTGTGCAAACAAAATGAAAGGCTCCGTAATAAAGGTTTTCCCACTGCCAAAATTGACCTTGCAACTAAGTCTTACATTTGGTTACTAAATAAAACATAGCACAACACTTCATGATCTTTAAAAAGTATTTCCTACTTGAAAATAACCAATGCACAGGAATTTAATTATTGATTTTGTAATTTATTCATCAATTTCCATATATGTTTAAAATTGGGATATTATTTACAAGTTTAAAGGTCATTGGAAATCGAGACTCTTTTCAGCAAGTTATAATTCTGTGTCTACTTAATTTTAAGTGTTACAAGTCATCAGTATAGTGTTAATTTTTGCCCTTGTAGAAAAGCAGTATCATACTCTACCTGACTGGTCAGGAGTGTAAACAGGTTTGTCTGTTTGTACAAAGAGAAATCCATTGTCGTAAGTTACTGGAACTTTTTTCGATTTCGAAAAATGCTTAGATACAACTTCCAAGTACACAAATGAAACTGAACTGTGGTCTTCAGGCAATTGTTTGGGTTGTATCTATAAAATAAAACATTGATAGACAAGAGTAATTTTAAGACAAGACTTCCAACGGGTCCATCCTGGTTCTATCACCACCCTACCTTTTCTGTCACTGCTGAGAATTTGCATTTCCACCCCAGAGATAGAGAATTAGAAGCTACATTTTAACAAGTTCATCAGACAATTCTATAGATTCCCTAGGTGATTCTTACAGATCCACAGATGATTGAAAATATAGATTCTGATTTAGTATATCCGGGATGGAAATGCAAATATTCAGCAAGTGTTGAACGAGAATGAACCAATTTAAAGCCCTATTTTAAAGTGATAAAGTAGACTGGCTTCCTAAGTACCACTGTAATCCCATTGCAACAAAAATGATTATACATATATGACTAGTCACTTAGAAGTGATACAGGGGCTACCAGTTGCCGTTGAATTAACGCCAACTGACGGCAACCCCAGGGTTTGTCAGAGTGGAGCCATGCTCCATAAGATTTTCCGTGGCTGGGTTTTCATAACTAGATAGCCAGGCCTTTCCTCCTACGTGCCTCTCAGTGGAGTTGACCATCCAACCTTTCAGTTAGCAGGCTAGTGTATTCATTATTTGAACCATCCAGGGACTCCCACGGAAACTAGAGTAGAAAGTAAATTTTGCCCAGACCCCTTCAGTGCCCTGACCGCATACCCAAAATTCAGCTAAAATCAAACAAAAGTCTTTTGGGCTACATGTTTCCTCAACTGCGTGTATAGACAGTGAAAGAGGCGAGAACCCAGTCTTCATGGGGTCGTCTTGTTTTCTGAGTATCACAGTTGCCTGCCCTTGACAGGGTGTAGTCTTACCACTTTTCTATCATTTGTTTTAGTGAAAAATATTTTAGTTTTCCTTTTATCCACTTTTACCCACACAGTAAGTCAGGAAGTATTACTATAAGATCATGAAAAACGTTATTACAGAATGTAAAGCATTGTTTGTGCACACTCCTCCATCTCTGACTATGCATGCACGTCGGACGGCAGTTTTCCATTTCTCTAACCCTTCCTCGATAGCATGCTTTACTCTCAATGGAGAACACATCAAATGGCAGTTTGGGCATCTTTGAGGGGCTCAAATCGTCTTCCTTTTAAATCTCTGTTTGAGGAAACAAACAAACAAAAACTCTGAAGGGACAAGATCAGGGTTACAGGGTGAATGGGGTGAGATTTCCCAACAAAATTCTCTTAGGACAACCCTGGTTATCCATAAGAATGAGCAGGTGCTTTGTTTTGACGGGAACAAATTCATATTCAAAATATATGTGAGACGTTCTGGTCCCTCTAGCACCCGTGCAATTTTCTTAACACTAAGCCCCTTGATCATCCTGTGCCTTTCAAGGAGGTCTATCACGATGATCCCTCTGGACTCACAAGCCAGTTGCCATAAGCCTCCGAGCTGATGTTGCTGCCATACATTGAGCTGACCCAGCAGGTCCCTTGGGAAAGCACTGTTTTTGCCTGGACCTTTCTTTGGAAGGCACCGAATGAGACTAAGTCCAGTGCATTTGTGAGAAACTGCCTGCGGCCCTACACTGACCACAGAGACATCTACCTCCAAGCACGTTTTGCTAGGGGTAAATCCGTGCATGTATTAACTAGAATCCGCATAGCGTTATTTGTTTACTTACCTTTGTACGTGCACTTAGGCAAAAGGGGCTTTGAAAAGTTCGTGGGGGGAGGGAAATCTATGATCTTTTTATTCCATCTGTCCATGAACTTTCGGAATCCCTTTCATCTATGCATACATGCATGTATTCAATAGGCATGTATTTAGTCAAACTAATACTACAGATACTCTTAACAAACGTAATCAGCTCACCCTAATGCTCGCCAGCCCCTCAGCACAGCATTCTGACTGACGTTCAGAACACTTGTATTACACCCACACACTGCTGCTCCCGGGGATGGAACTTCATGCCTCCCCCAAATCTGTGGTGCTACAGGAATAGTAGTAGCAAAGGAAATACAGGTGTCCATACGTAGGAGCAGGCATTGGAAATGTGTGATAAACGTTCATTACTAAAAAACCCAATTGCTATGGAATTAGATACAAGTGAGATGACAATGAAAGATTAGGGGGAAAATCTGTAAAAAAAAATCTGTAAATATTCCACACTCAGATTTTTATCTCTAAGTACTTTCAAGGATGTTTAAAGAAAGGAAAATTGAGAAACAAACATGCAGGATGAAGGTCCAACTTATGTAATGAATGATATTCAAAGTTCCAACCATGACACCCATACTTACAGAAACACCCATACTTGAACTAATATCAAACAATTAGCAAGTGGATTTATACTATGCTTACAGAACAATGAAATGCTTCAGCTGCACATCAATTTTTATGAGTCCCTACCTTAAGCTATTTTCAACATTGAACCTCTAATGTAGTTCTGAGATGATAGAAATGCTCTCTGTCCATGCTGTGCAGTCTGTTACAGTCCCATGTGGCTACTGAGCCCTGGAAATGCGGGTAGCTTGGCCAAAGAACTAAATCCTTAATTTTAATGAAACTTCACTAATTTAAATTTAAAAGTCAACAGTCCTAAGTGTCTAGTTGCTCCCGTACAGGCTACTGCTAGGTCTCATCATATCAGATCAGAGGGTATTTTTTGAAAGCAATGCTTTTGGGGAAAGAATCTTAATTTTCAATAAACCCAGTAAAGTTTATTAAAACTTTTAATAAAAGTTTCTGGTAGGAGAAGTATTTGTTAAGAGATTAGAGCATTTGTTATCAAGGAGATTAATGAAAGAATGCCTACATTTGATGAGAGTTTATTTAGACCCGTGTTTCTCAAATCTTAAAGGAAAAATGAAAGATTCTAATGTAGGATGAGTTTTGATTTAAATAATTGTGACTGCAATGTTAGTACAAACCTAAATCTAGGTCTAAGCTTCATATACTTGTGACTTTAACACAATTATAAAACATAAACAAATTTCTAAGATAAATTCTAACAAGGCTACAAAATCTCAAGTTTTAATGTTTTAAAAAAATCCAGGACTCACGTTAGAGAACAATTGTCTGAACGAAACTCCAAACCCTTTCTGAGTCGGATAGTTTTTTTATTTCTAAAAATCTTATGTTGGCGTTCAAAAGTACTCCTTTTGTTGTTGTATTTGTTCCCCTACATGACTGAAGAGTAAGCTTCTCATGGAGACTTTTTAATTAAAATAATTGATGAGAATTTTTAATAGAAATGAGTTGTGAGCATTTTTCTAATCTATCCAGAATGCCTTAATAGAAAGAAAGCTTATTTGATACAGGTTCTCTTTCTATTAACTTCAGGTTGTCAATGAGAACTATTCATGTTTGTTACCAGTAACTTTATATAGCAATCAGCTAGAGGCTGAACAAAAAATGCTTAATAACAACTATGGGTTTTGTGGGTAAGGCAATAAGCATAATTCATATTTCTCAATTTTCTGCTAACTAGAACTTTCACAGTAAGCAAGTATTTTCAACTCCTCTCCAAATGGTTCCACCCTAATAAAACATTTTTTCCAAATATCTTAAAAATATTCATGCACTGTTCAAAAAATAGTGGAAAGAATTCTTCTATTTATAATTTTGTATTTTATCCAGATTATCATTTCTGACTAACATTTTCTAATAACCACACAGTGGTAAAATGGTGGAAATAATCGATCTATGTTTTTTTATTCTGTTTTATCAATATTCAAATTCTGCACACATTTAACTGAAAATATTGTATATGTATATACCTATAGATATTAATATAGACATATATGTAATCAGAGATAAATACATACTGTTAAGATGGCAGAGTTTTGGAATTTGTTTTCTGGAGATAAATAAACATAGCCGGAAGAGTACTGAAATTTCTTATCTGGGTAACTCTTAATAGAGATTGTTGCGTCAAATGCTTCTGTGTATCCATAAACTTGAATTACAACGTTTTCAGTGGCTCCAACACGAAATACTTTAGGTGCTGAAATGACATACCTGTTGCAAAAAAAGAAAAAGAGGGATTCATATCTTAATAAAACATATTTTCCTATACCTCTGATTTTTTCCTCTCATTTGAGAGGTTTAGTTTAAAATAAGCATGTTATTTCAACTGAAAGATTATATTTCTATCAAATTTTATGTGGGAGCTAAATAGTGAGTAAGATCATTCCAGCATAGTTTCCAAGTAGAACAAAGCTGGAAATTGAGATCTTAGTAATAGAATCGGTGGTTTAGTCTACATTTGAAATGATAACAGCATCATCCCAGAGGTCCTGCACGAGCCAGACAGTGAAGAGGGCAGACTGGGACATGTGAATTGGGTCACCATTTTCTAGTCCCGTGACCATGGTTCAATCACTAACCTCTCTCGGGATGAAATAATTTCCTGTGAAACTATCACTTTCTTTACCTGGTGATGTTAAGGTTAAATAAGATAATAAAAGTGCTTAGCATTGTCTCTCAAAACACAAACCCACTGCGACCCAGTTGATTCCAACTCATAGGGGCCCTATGGCAGAGTAGAATTGTCTTTTGGGGTTCCAAGATTGCCCATCTTTTGAGAAACAGTCAGCCTCATCTTTCTCCCATGGACTGACTGGTGGGATTTAAACTGCTGGCGGGGCAGTTTGCAGCTCAGTGCAGAACCCATGACTCTCCAAAGGCTCCTTTGTAATACAGCAGGTGCTCGGTAAATCACGGTTACATCGATGAGTATTGATTGATTGCTCTGCTATAAGCAAAACACTCTCACTTGGTTAATTACCATGTTATAAAGAGCCACTCTCATCTTTTTCCCAGAGAGTGTGAGGAGATGATTATTAAGGGCAAGTAAGTGCAGTAGAAAGAATTCAAAATAACTGGGCAAGCGTCATGAGATCTCTATGGCAGTGAGTTTGGTTTTGGTTTGAACAAGTAATATGTTCACGTGACCAAAATTACTGCGATTAGAGTGTGCTAGTAATGTATGGCATCCTAAGCATATATTTATATTTATGATCTATTTAATATGTTCATATGCATAGATTTATGACAAAAATTAAGTGGAAAAAAATTTAAATCCCTGCTATTGAATGAATTCCAACTTATATAGACCTTATATGGGATTTCTAAGGCTGTAAATCTTATGGATAACAGACCCTCAACTTTTTTAAAAAATCATTTTATCAGGGGCTAATACAGCGCTTATCACATCCATCCATTATGTCAAGCACATTTGTATATTTGTTGCCATCATCATTCTCAAAACATTTTCTTTCTACTTGAACCCTTGGTATTAGCTCATCATTTTCCCCCTGCCTCCCGTACTCTCCCTCACGAACCCTTGATCATTTATAAATTATTATTTTCCCATGTCTTACACTGTCCGATGTCTCCCTTCACCCACTTTTCTGTTGTCCATTCCCCAGGGAGGGGGTTATATGTAGATCATTGTGATTGGTTCCCCCTTCCTCCCCCACCTTCCCCTTCCCCTCCTGGTATCGCTACTCTCATTATTGGTCCTGAGGGGTTTAATTGTCTTAGATTCCCTGTGTTTCCAGCTTTTATCTGTACCCGTGTACATGCTCTGGTCTAGCCGGATTTGTAAGGTAAAACTGGGGTCATGATAGTGAGGGAAGGAAGCATTAAAGAACTAGAGGAAAGTTGTATGTTTCATCAGTGCTATACTGCACCCTGACTGGCTCATTTTCTCCCTGCAACCCTGCTGTAAGGGGATGTCCAGTTGCCTACAGATGGGCTTTGGGCACTTCCCCTCATTCACAATGATATGATTTTTTTTGTTCTTTGATGCCTGATAACTGATCCCATGGGCACCTTGTGGTCACACAGGCTGGTGTGCTTCTTCCATGTGGGCTTTGTTGCTTCTCAGCCAGATGGCCGCTTGTTTATCTTCAAGCCTTTAAGACCCCCAAATGCTATACTTTTGATAGCCAGGCACCATCAGCTTTCTTCACCACATTTGCTTATGCACCCGCTTTGTCTTCAGTGATCGTGTCAGTAAGGTGAGCAACATGGAATGCCAGTTTAATAAAACAAAGTGTTCTTGTGTTGAGGGAGTACTTGAGAAGAGGCCCAATGTCCATCTGCTTCCTTAATACTAAGCCTATAAATATATGCACATAGATCTATTTCCCCATCATCATATATAAATATATTTACATATGTACATGCTTGTACTTAGACCTCTATAAATGCCTCCTAGTTCTTTCCTCTCTTTCCTGTTACTTTCCTCCTGTTCCAATATCATGCTCAGTCTTCATTGGGGTTTCAGTAATTCTTCTTGGTTACATTGCCCTTGATCACACCCTACCAGACCTCCTGCACCCTCCTCACCATTGATTTTGGATCACTTGTTGTTCCCTTGTCCCTGGGTTTGTTAACTCCCACTTCCTTTTCCCAGCCTCCCCCTTTCCCATGTCTCCCCCTTCCAACCATTGATCCTGTTGTTTTCTCCTCCATATTGTTTATGCCACCTATCTTATCTAGATAAACTTGCAGAGATAATGATATGCACAAAAAACATAACAACGCCACACAAGAAAAGAAAACAACAACAAAAACACCAAGCACAAAGAAAGAGAAAAGCCTCTGAACAGTTCAAGGTCTGGTTGTTGACCTTTAGGAGTGTTTTCCGCAGACCCTCCCCTTTCTCTTGAGGAGCAGCTGAGGAGTTGGAAGGCTGTCCTTGCAGCGGTTCAACGTTTACCCAACAGCGCCCCCAGAGGTCCATCATGGTAAATCTCTCTCTTTTTCTCTCTGCCATCGAATCAATGCTGATTCATAGCCACCTCCCTGTGGGGTTTCCTTCCCAGACCAGCTGTTTAGGGAGCAGGAAGCCCAGTCATTCTCCCTTGGAGCAGCTAGTGGTTTTGAACTGTCGACCACTGGGATCTCAGATGAACAATCACTTTAGAACTAAAATAATCATTTTTAGGTATGATATCACAACCTAAAGACATGGATGGTTTAAATGCATATAGTATGTAAATAATAGTGTTATTAAGAACTGCCGTTCATAAATTTTAGCGTAATCACAATTTTCAAAGAATCAGAATTAACCCTAAAGAATGCTTGTTTAACTATGTATACCCAAACCTACTGCCTTTAAGTTAATATTGACTCATAGCAACGCTAGATAGGATTTCTGACACAGACAGTCTCATCTTTCTCCCAATGGGTGGGTGCTAAGTTTGAGCACCTGGCAGTTAGCAGTCCAATGCCTAATCCACAGTGCCAACAGGGTTCGTTTAACTCTGTATAATCCATGAAAAATAAAAAGAAAGTGAAGCACCAAATCCAAATAAGCCATAAGTGCCAAGAAGTTTTCATTTTAAAAAAGGAATTTGATAACCCTTCATTTAAATGTTTGTAACTAACTCAAAAACTCATTGCCATAAAGTCAATCTGACTTACAGTGACGCTGCAGTGGGCTTCCAGGACTGTGACTCTTTACACTGGTCCTGCAGTGGGCTTCCAGGACTGTGACTCTTTACACTGGTCCTGCAGTGGGCTTCCAGGACTGTGACTCTTTACAGTGATGCTGCAGTAGGCTTCCAGGACTGTGACTCTTTACAGTGACGCTGCAGTGGGCTTCCAGGACTGTGACTCTTTACAGTGACGCTGCAGTGGGC